CTCTAGGGGAGGAAATATGTGAAGCTGTGACAGAAGAATGAGAGAAAGACCCCCAAGGAGTAAAAAACAAACCAAACCAAACCCAACCAAACAAAAAACTCTAAGTCAGAAGGGAACAGCCAGTGTCTGTGAAAGTTACACTGCAGCAAGCTCTGAAAAGCCAAGATGAGGCTGCCAGGACTCAGCTGGGGGTCTCCAGCCAGGAAATTACTCTAGACTGAGCAACATCCCCATCTCTCAGGTGACTTCAACGAGGAGTCACAACAGCTGAAGAGCCCTCAAAAGACTCGAGATTGAGTAGCTCTCTCCTTTCTCCCTCCTCCAAGCATTGTTGTTCCGGGTCAAAAGAGCCAAGGGCAACTGGCACAGAAGACATTGTTCTCCAGGCAAGATGACAGCAGGAGGAAGAAACAGGACGTGAGAAGCAGAGAGATGATGTGCCCTTTGGCTAAGAGAGACAGCCAACATGGCCCTTGAAGAGCTCCTGCTCAAACTCCACCTCTGCTGCAGAAGATCCTAGAGGTCCCTTAGCCCCAGCTTCCACGGAGTACCATCTGCAAGATGGAAAAATTATTTGCTAAGAACAAGCAGAGGTAGATATTCTCCATCAAGAAGTGGATATGGGATAGGAAAGGAAGAACTGAGAGCGCATGGGGAAAGAGGGGTCCCATCATGCAGGTGTCAAGAATAGGAATGTCTTCCTGCTACTAGCAGATAATCTGCCGTCACACTGCTGGCTTTCTACAGGCAGATGAGACAACAACTGCAAGCAGTTGCCACCTGAACATCATAGATACAATTACTAAAAGCAGAGCACAGTCTTGAGCGGGGTATGGACCCCCATGGATCTGTGCAAGCACCAGCAGAAAGCAGTTGCTGCCTACAGAACAGAAATGCAGTGTTTTCCCTGCTGTCAGCACCTGCGTCAGGCTCATGGTTTCTCTTGAGATACAGCGCTTAATTGGGATAGATTTTGTGTTTTCTGCTGTAGCCCAGCCCAGCTCCCAGTTTAATTGCTAGTTTACAACTTAGCCTGTTTTGTGCTTTCCACGCTATTTCTTTCCCCACTTAATCTAATAGAATTATAGAAAGTATTGCTGGGAGGACCTCAGGAGGCCACACAGTTTATCCTTCTGCCCCAAGGCAGTATTTCATTTTCAACAACATCATGTGTCTTTTGCTATCAGGTCAGATCGGTCCAAGATGTATAGCGGGTAAAGAAATGAAGCTTACCCAGGGGAGTCAATTGGCATAAAAGACTAAATCCAGCCCTTTAAGTCACTGAAGTTATATCAGAAATAACCCTCACCCAAATGGTGTCATTTATCAGATCAGTTTTCTGAAAGATGTCCTTTCTTAAGTTTTAAGTCTCTAAAACGAACAAATCTCTAGAAGAAACTGTTCTGACAGTCCCAATTCAGTATATTTAATGCTTTATTATGAACAGCAGTGACCACTCCATTGTTAAGACTGAACAGATCTTATCACAGTATGATCAGCTTTGAAACTCCTATTAACTCCCACAATAAAACCTGATCTTTCTGCATTTCACTCCATAGTAGAATACGTCTGGCAAGACAAAACAAAACCATTAAAGGATCTTTAATATGACAACTTTACACAAATGAATTTCCAGTAAAATTTCAGAATGTCAGTCAGCTTCTTAAGGTTCTTTCTTCCAAGACAATTTGACTAAAAATTCCACTTTTGTTTTCTTTCGTCTGTTAATCTCTTCAAAAAGAAATGTCTTGCAGCCTTGGGAATAGCAAATGCAAAAATTAGAAGGATAAAAAAAACCCAGCTGGTGATGTATCAAGCTAAGTAAAGCAGGGCAAAAGTATAACAGGGATTTTGTACAGCAGAACCATGAAGACCAAAGGAAAGGTAAGAAGGAAGGACTCCAAGGAGGAAAGAATGTTTTTGTCTCATCAAACAAGCAAGCAGGAAAAACAAGGTCTATGTATCTCTTAAAAACAGTTAAAGGCTTGTTTGTTTTCTCCCCCTTGTTTTGAAACTTCCATTCTGGTTGAGCTGGGTCTCTTCTGGGTTATAAACACCCATGCTGAGCACCTGCAGCACTGCACAGCCGGACAAAGTAGGGGAGCTGTAAGAAGACAACAAGCTTCCTGGTCAGCAGACAGGCTCTCTGCCTTCCTCCCACTGTTCTCCACGGGGTCTGTAACTCAGAGTGATGCTAAGGCTATAAGCAGCAAACAGGCATCCTCACCCTACAGATGTGACTGCAATAGTTACTGAACACAGTAAGAGAAACTTAATAATGGCTTCAGACTCTTACTCATCCTGCTTGCCGAGCTCACTTACTCACTACCCTAAACTCCTTCTCATAGACACAAGACTATTTCCCACAGCCTTCCCATATCCGGCTCCCACGTTCTCTACCACTCTTCACTACCAGCCTCTACAACCAAGGTCACAAATAAGCTAGGAAAACAGCAACAAGCATCACCTGCATCATACTGGTATTATATAGCACATTAGCCAGCAAGGACAATATATCATGCTTTTAAAATGCATTCGGAAGGACTGAGATGGTTATTGTCAAACATGCCATTTTGAAGGACATTAAATTGTGTTTACATTAGTGCTTGAAATAGTCCTGTAAAAGGCAAGTTGGGCAACGTGCTTTAGACACAACCTCTTTTCTAATTCTAGTCATGGCTTGTGGAAAGAGGGAAAGGGGCAGTGGGTGAATCCCTACTGCTAGCTAATTAGATCATACATTTCCTCTCTCAGGCAATAGATCTTTCCCTGCATGGGATGCATTTTTCTTCACTAACCTCTCAAAAGCAGCTTCCCTATAAGTCACAAATCACCACTGCAAGCATTCCCTTAATGAGATCTTCCAGCTCTTGCATTCATTTAATAAAACGGCGTTCACCAATCTTCATCTCACTGGTGCATTTAGACTGTTTATTTGAAGTTATGAGGGGTCCTTCTGGTGCAGAGAGATTGAACTCCCTGGTTAAAGATTGCATAGGATTCACTTTATCACCCATTCCCAAGGCGTTCATCACCCCTACACACCATGTCACAGGTGGCGTACACACCTGGCATGCTATTTTCAATATGAAAAAATATGTCTTGTGTGGTAATCACATCATTGCTAGAACCAGGGGGAAATGAGCTACCAAATCAAACCAAACCTTCTTAGTTCTTTAAGTAGATCAGCACAGCATCCAAAGTAACTTTTATTCTTAATAGTCAGAGGCACTAACACCTGCAGGCAAGACTCTCCTCAGCCCATTTAAATCAACAGACACCCCCAAGGATTAACAAGACAGCCCATTAACAAGATACAAATGCCAATAATGCTAATCCAATTCAAAAAAGGGTGAATCTTCTAGTCACCCTAAGCCAATGGAGGAGTCTTTCCTTCTTTAGAGGAAGCAAGAGCTTTCATAGCTGGTTCTGTCATTTTTTGAGATGGCTTCTAGCAAAAGAACCTATTTGTTTTCTTTTCTTGTGGTCTGAGCTCCTACTTAACCTCTTTAGCTGGTATTCATGCTCCCTAGCTAATTCCCAGCATCCACACACTGTTGCCAGCGAAATGAGCCCAGCTGCTTCTCCAGATTCTTAAAGTGCTTCATAAACTCTGCTGCAACATCTGCAGCCATATTTCTTATGTTCAATCCAATGTACTTTTCCTAGAACTGGGCATAAAAACAGTTATAAAACGCACGTATAAAACTCTTGAAACGCGTATTCCTGAAAAGCCTGCCTGAATAAAATCACTCAGTGCTTACTCTCTACAAAATTCAGCTTCCCTTGCCCAAGGGAGGCTAACATAATGTGGGAGAAGAGAAAGGTTACAGTTTTGAACTTCTTGGTGTTAGGCTCATTTACAAGTCAGTACCTTACCATGGACGGTTTCACATACTGTATTAGCAACTAGACTCTCACACATGCAACATCAGTACTCCACACAAAAGAGCAGTTGTCTCTAGGCTTTTACCCTTTCTGATATGCAACTTCTAGCCAGACACGGCTGAGTCAGAGTAACTTAGCCAGGCTGTCTTTCATTTCCTTAGTCCTGTTTCCACTAGCAACATCAGAATCATGGTCTTTAATCTGAAATTCAAGGACAAGCAAGGAAAGTTTAACAACAAAGAGGACTCTGATTGTAGTAAGGGATTGGGAACTGAACCTAATGAGAACATGGTATTGCCAAGCTCAGCTGACAAAAAGAAAAATGACACAAAAACACGTAAGATGACAAAGACATGAAGAAGAAAATATAATTTGTTTTAAATGTTGGCCTCATCTTTACAATAAAAGAGGTATTCTTGCTATCTGACCCCATTTTGCACATAAGCCAATTTGGATGTGCCTGTAGGAAGTCCTGCTCCCTTCAAGAGAGGCAGCTTCTTGAGAACTCTTGTGACCTGGGACCAGCAGAGGGCACTGCGTTACCAAGTGACAGCAAAAACAGATGCAAGGCACTTCCTACTAGGCAGTGGAAGTGAGCCATGCTGAAGAAAAGAACCAGATTCCAGAAGTCACGTATTAGAAACACATATTAGTCACCAGCATATCAGTCCTACAACTGATAAGGGTAACACTGTTAAAACATGCCTCAAACTCCGGGCACTCCTAGAAACACACCTAAATCCAGCTCAGTCCCCACGCATCTCAGTCTCCATGTGTTGGTTTCAGTGCATCGGCCTCCTACGGAAAACGTTTTTCAAGCGGCAGGGCCAAATCAGTCCTGCCTTGCAACATAGGTATCAAGGTCGGGCTGCTTAAGTTCAAAACATCCTGTCAGCTTCCTCTCTCCTTCTCCAAACCTCTAAATCCTTGCTTGTAGCAGCAGGAAGTCTGTTCAGACAAGTGACAAGACAATATCAAAGCAAAGAGCTGGCAGTTTCCATTCTGCCCTCCCCTTTTTACTCCCCGCCTCCTCCAACCTCGGAGACTTTCAGAGAGCAGAGAACCAAGTTGGAGGACATGAAAGGAATGCTGAGGTAGCAATTTCAGAAGAGTGTCTTTCCACTTGCTTATTTCTAGTTTATTTTGAGTTACCAGAAGATGACCATGAAGAAGCAAATAGCTCATCTTTTCTCTTCTCTCTGTATTTCATCCTGCAGGATTCTGGGTACTAGAGGAAGCTTAGTTGATAATAAGCCATGCCAGTCACAGACGTCAAGCTAGTGAGTGAAAAGTTTCCACTTTCTCTTTGTACAGTTGGTGGAATAACTTTGCCAGGATGTGGAAAGGGGTCTCAAAATTTTGCATCTCCTTCTGTAAAGAAATTAGAAAGTTGTGAGTGACAGATGGGATAAGCATTTGACTATTTCTCCTCTAACTGCTTCACAAAAGACAGATTAAAACTGAGGGTAAGTTAGATGACAAACAAGTGGAAGAGAGCCCTCAGTGATCTTTCTTTACCTGAAAGAGAACTTTACAAACACCCACTGGCACAGATGGTGAAAGGAGCAGATACTCACCACTGACATCTCACAGTATTCCAGGCCATGTTTCTCAGCCCACTCCTGTGCTTGTTTCTGCTCCACAACTCGACGACCAACCAGATCTGTTTTATTCCCCACTAAGACACCTACAGAAAAAAAACCACACATGAAACAAAGGAAAAACAACAACCCAGGAATGCTGACTTGTTAGCAATAAATGCAGGAACATTTGTAGAAGCAGCTGATAAAGTTGGAGGCATGGAGAACAGCCTACAACTACCTAGAGAAGGTTCCACAAAGGAAACATATTCATGCCTTATCTGCTTTGTGATAAAAGCAAGTAAGTTGGAAGAAGCCATGCCTGCCCCTGGCTTAAAATAAATGCTCTATGCAACATCTCGACGGGAACAAGTGCTGTCAGACAAGAAAGGAGCAGATAACAAGAATCTCACCCATTTCTTACCTGGGATGTGCACTCCAACTGCTTGAGCCCTCAGCTTCTCCAACCACTTGGCGCAGTTGTTGAAAGATTGCTCATTAGTGACATCATACACAAGGCACAGGACGTTGGGTTGCTCCCACTGCACAGCAAGAAAGGAACATTGTCAGCTCTAATGAAACTGATGTGGTCTCCAGCCAGTCTGTAAACAGGGCGAACACAGATGCTAAGACAAAAATAAAAAGCCTAACATACAGGAATCCTATGCCCTGGCTGAGGTTTCACGTTTCAGTTGAGCTGACTAAATGGAGAACTGGCACTGGGAGAGGTGGTCTTGCTCTCTTTCCCCATTCCCGTCTGCACAGTCCTGCCTCCTTTACTTGTATTGGCTCTGGCACTAACCTGATCCCTGGGGAAGCTGATTCTTTATGCTGAATCAGTGCAAAATTAATCTTAGAGAAAAAAGTAGAAATGTTTTCTTCCAGTTTGAGAAGCTGAGACAGCTTCTAGAGGGGTCCCTTGCAAAGCAGACCTAATGCAAGGGCAAAAGTGGAATTGCCTCTTGCAGAGCAATGACCCATTAGGTTGAGTTAGCCATCTTATGAAACCTCACATCAATTAATGGCTCTTACGTTTCAAAATGAGAAAACAATGGAGAACTGTCCAGGTAAGGACACAAATGTGTGAAGGAAAAAATCAAGGGCAGTATTATTCTCAAGGACAAGAATGAGTCCTGTTGGATCAAACATGTCACTACAACACAAAACCCCCCACTGTTGGAGTAGCAGCAAAGAGATGTTTTTCTAAGAAATAAAAATAGCTTTAACCAACAGCACACAGCAATTCTCAGTTAAACATCCCCATTTCTTTTGTAAGAAAATTGAATGACTATCTGTCTTCCTTCCTCTGGAAAGTATTTCTTCTAGTACTTTTACAAGTTTTAGAGAGGTAGAAACAGGATGCATTGGCAACTGAGGTAATTGCTCCCATTTACACTAAAGGCAAAGTTTGCTACATCTGCCAGACTGGGGAGTTCAGATCTTCAAAGCAAAAGCACGTCTTCGGAAGAAGAGGACTGTTACATAAGTCTTACCAGTTTCTCCAGCATTTCAGAAAATAGATCTTTTCCTGCAGAGTCAAAAATGAAGAATTCCTGAAAGTGGAAGCAGAAAGAATGCTCTTGCCAGGAAAAATGCAGCATAGGAAAAGGTTTTGAAAGTAAATACTGGGACTTGTAATTCCTGCATTTTGTTCAGTACAGCAGTGCTGTGCCCCTAAGGGACAAGTTCCCTGCACTGAGAATAATCCAGTTCAGATAGTATGAGAAAAGAAATAGCTATTTTTTATGTTTACCCAATAAAAGGGTTACCTCCAAGACCCCGGGTCTGGTTTCCATCCCTACTGGAAAAAGAATATGTGGAGCGGGACAGTAACCTGCACTGTTTATACAAATCATACACGTGGTCCACATTCCACTAGTGAGAGTATAGGGAATTAAGGAAAAACTGTAGTTCTAAGGAACAGGACTAAAGGACAAAATAGAATACTAACAAAGCTGGCAACAGCTTTGGTTTAAGATGTCATGTTGGATACAAGTATGTAAAACCTACATTTTTAAGATTAAACTAACCCTGGAGTATCAGCAATTGTACATGATCAGCCTCATTTCCTTAATGCAACTTAATGGCCTTATGAAGATGCAGAGTGATCTTCCACCAGAATGAGACTGAAGTGAGGTTTGAGCTCTGGATGTCTCTCTTTCTGACCCAATTTATGTCACAGAAAAACTCACCACGCTATCACTTGTCTCGGGAACTGATACAGCCTTCACCAACAGTTCTATGCCCGTTGTCTGTCAAGAAAAATCAGGAAAACAAGGATCAGAAGAGTTTTTAAGAGCCTGTCCGACTGCACACCAACTACACATTGGATTGAGGCAATTCTTGTGATCATTACAATCCCATCAAACACAGACTGCTGGGAACTCCTCATAGCTCTGGTAACATACTCCCACCTACATGTCAATAGCACGTAGATTTGCTTTGATAGGGGAAAAGGATGGAGAAGAACCAACATCCGGAGATTAGCTTATATACAACTAAGGGTACTAGCTGAAATCTGCAGGGCTACGTTCACTATCACATTGCTGCTCTAAAGTACGCCTTAGAACGTTTTGCACCGACCATGTGATCAGCTAACATATGGGACTGAGGTTATTTGTGCCTCCTTCCACCTTTTATCTCATTCTGCTTTGTAGCTTGTTTGTTTGTTCTATTTCTATCCTTAACTTCTGGTTTCCATCTTTATTTCAATGAATAAACATATTTTAGGGGATTTTTTCCTCCATACTCGTATCTTCCTTTTTTTACTTTACTTATATTTACTTTTATTTTTATCCTGCTTCTGATTAGTCATCACCATTGATTCTCACACTGAAAGACTGCAAACTGTATCCTCTTCATCTGGGAACAGTTTCTGTAGATTATAATTATCTTGGGGCTATGCAGCACATCTTCATGTTTGCATAGTGATAAGCGCACTGTCCACATGCACATTTAATAGTTGGAATTAAAAGCTTTCTCCTTCAGCAATGCTTTTTCATAGAGCACTCCCTAAAGGGGGAAGCTCTCTAAAACCACAAAAGCTTGTGAAAACATTGGTTCAGCAGGAAAATCGCAAAATTAACTAAATTACTCTGCATTAAGTTTCAAAACCAGCACCCACATAATGTAAAGACTTACAGAATAGTAAACGGTTTCTCTTCAGAATCTACAGTGTAAGAGAAAGAAAACCCTCTAAGACCTCACCTTGAATGCCTCAACTTAAAATCATATTATCTATTTTGTTCTAGACCTTCTTAGTTTTGTCTTGCAACTTAGAAAAATGTAGGATAGCTGTTTGAGCCTGTTGTATGCTTACCAGTGTGTAGTTCTTCTGAAAATGAGCCCCATCAGTGCGGAACATCTGTGCTAAAGCGCTCTTCCCCACAGCTGGATCTCCTGCAAAACCAAAAACATAAAAGATTTTTGTTTCATCTTAGAGAATCTTATTTTCCCTCAGTTCTGTTACTACCATACGCCGTAAGAGCCTGGATGCTGTAACTCTGAATACAGCCAAGATAAGTGTCCCAAGAAGCACAAAACAATTTAAAAGGTAATACCCACATGAGGAAATGAATATTGCCATTATGCATACCAGTGCTGACATTAGATTTCTGCTCTATGAATGACAGCAAAGGCCCCCCAGATCAGGGTGGAACTGCTGTTTGTTCTAAAATTCATGTCTACCCTACGGCCTTTACCTGAGAATTAAAATTTCCCAGATATGTTGCCATGTAGAGAAAAACACAGTGTGATAAGGGAGACTATTTCCTCACTTTAGATTACCCATTTCCCCAGATTCAAATCCTTGTTATACACTGCGTTTAGGGAAGAGACAAGTCATTTATATACTACAAAGCTGCTTAAGCTGGTAACATTCCTCAATGAACTCTTCTTGCTGACCCTGCTAAGAGAGCAACTCTTGCTGACTCAATGCTGCTGGTGGCTCATTAGTTGCATCTTGGGCATAACAGAAGCAAACGTCACTTGGCTGGAGAGAAAGAGCATGCTGATTCAT